CACCGGACTCGTAATCGTGAAGTTGCGGGTTCGGGGGGTTCGAGCCACGGGCCCCTACGTTGTGTCCTTGGGAAAGGTACTTTATACGAATTTTCCTCACTTCACCCAGGTGGGAATGGGTACCCAGCTATAGACAGTGAAATATCTTGTCAGTTTGTTAGTGTTTGAGAGCTTAACCGGCTGCTTGCACTGTATGCTTCCAGGGAAGCTGAGAATGTTTCTGAGTGTTCTATGGTCTTTTGGGGTAATAATATAGTGTAAAGCGCACATAGCTTTCTTTCGAGTGGGGACATGCGTTATACAAATGCTATTTATTACTATTATTAAATATCATCATTATCATCATCATCGATGCCACAACAAATACCAGAGGAAATTTCCGTAACCTGTTTTCGGAGTTCCCAAGGCTCTCCGTCGACTTCTGTCTCCCCTACCTACCAGGAACTGACATTCAATTCGGACATCTCTCTTTTTTGTCGAGGATATTTTAGGTCCCCATTGATCCAATGTAGACCAATTAGGGAGCCGGCGTCGACCCTGTCCGTCACGGCAAACCCGAGCAGAGAAGGATACAGCAGAAAGACGGAGACACTCTATAAAAGGGCTGCCCACACGAGAATCGACCTCAGGTCTTCTGCGTGCGGCGGCGGAGCGCCTGTAACCCCTCTGCACCACAGACACCAATCAGGAGATCTCGGCTTTCAAGGCCCCCATCAGACTAGGAAAATCCCCACTTGTCACAAGGGTTCAAGTGTGCAAATGACGCAAAGTTCCCCCCCGTTCATCTCTCTCTTCACCACCAAAGGACGTCATACTTCACAGCCACTGCGGCCACAGTAATGATGAGTGAAATTTTCTCAAGTGCGCACGGCGAGGCCCTTAAACCCAGTGCGCACTTCCAATCGAATTCGGTCGACTTCACTCGAACTGAGTCGGGTCAGACAAATTTTTCTCCTTGGAAGGACAAAAATAACAATTCGAGCAAATTCAGTTATTACCTTAAAAAACAAACACGTATGTTTTTCAGGGTTGCGAGTCAAACGATCGGGTGTGTACAGCGTGCACCCCGAATGCCGTAAAGGACTGTGTAGATTTGGAGAATCTGATATTGACTGATCTAGAAAGTTATCGACTTCTCTTAATTAAGATTAGGATTCAAGAACCGCTCAACACAGCAACAGCGATGCGCGGCAGTCGGCACTTGAAGCCGTTAGAGAACGAAGTAGCGGTGTTCTGAGCGATACGTTTTCTGTTGAATAACATAGTGAGTCGTTCAAAGATTTCTATTCTTGTCAAACTTGATGCAACAAGGCAGGGTTGTTTTTTTGTAGAGGGCACGGAACCCCCGTTAATCGAGCCACCCCGACCCTACCCAATCCGATCTACTGTGTGCACCCGGCAATAACAGCATAACAGTGTTGATAATGTGTGTGTGTGTGTGTGTGTGTGTGTGTGTGTATGTGTGTGTGTGTGTGTATTCTCTATCCTTTCTTGCTCCCCCATCCCCCTCTTCCCCCTCTTCCCCCTCTTCCCCCTCACTCCCTTTCCCTCTGTCACTCATTTTCACTATCTATCTATTCTGTCCTTGCTCGCTTCCTCCTCCCGCCCTAATCCTCGTCACCGCGTTCCACCTGACACACGTATGAAGCATCGTTATTTTGTTGAACATGAACACACTTATAAACTCTCTTATCACAGTTTTTAAAAGCGAAAACATCACAACTTTCAGACAAAAACTTTTATAATTCTGGGGAATTTTGTATGCAAAACATCGTGTCTTACTAGTTTGTAAACAGTTATTTTGCCATGTTGATTTTTTTCAGTCTAAAATAATATCTTTAAAGATCCTGTTCGGTGGTTCGCCATAATTTTGGGATTTGTTTTGAATAGAGCGGAATTTCTAGTTTACAACGTGCATTCATGGACGTCTTGAGACTGTCACACCTGTGACGACATAATTTTGTCAATTTTCGGGGGAAAAATTCGGGAATAAGGCCCATCTCTGTTTTATCGACTCAGAATGCCTCTAAATTTCCACGACAACTTAGAAATTTTACCTTTAAAAATACGCAAATATTCGGATGATGTTTGCAGTTGTTTAGTTGTCACCAGTATAGTTTAAAGAATAGCTAGATCTAAACGATATTTTCATGTTTAATATCAAGTGGATATAGTAGTAACTTTGAGTATCAACAGAAACGTCCCAGAACTCATACTATGGGCAGGATGCACGTATCTGCACTTTTGTGTGATTTAGTTATCAATCCTTACGACTGAAGGTGCTACCTGTTTCAGTTTTCAGGTTATGCCAGATGCACATTCACTCAAAATGATAAATCTCAACGCCTTTTGCGAAATATGCCTTATTGCGTCGAACGAATTTTTCCCGACAACAATTCCCGAGTTTGTACTCATCACGCACATCACTATGCGTCAACCAACATTAGGTATGTTCAGTTTTTTGAGTCTTAATCGAATCTGACCCGCGGGAAATAAATCT